ATCAAATAGAATCAGCATCACTGTTCCGCAAATTTTGTTTTTTAAGAAATTGATAAAATTTTAAAATATGTAAAAGAATCCAGTACACCCAGAACAATTTTAAAATTAATGAAATTTTAGGACAAGTACTTCCAGGTTTCAAAGCTTACTACACTTCCATAGTGTGCCATGCGAGAGCAAAGTGCACCTCGAACCATTGCCCAGCCCTCTGCTATAGGCTGAGAGCACTGAAGGGGGCGGCGCAGTATAAAAAAAAAAATAAAAAAAAAAAAAGCTTACTACAAAGATAGAACAGTTAAAACAATATAATGCAGACATAACAGCAGAATAAATAAAAGAGCTCAGAACTATAAAACTTCTAGGAGCAAAATCTTTATGACGTTGGAGTAGGCAGAATTCACACAAAAGAAAGCACAATGCATAAAAGAGCAAAAACAAATTACGCTTCATCAAAAAAAATAAAGTCTTTTGTACAAGAGGACACACCTTTAAGATGAAACACAGGCTAAAGACTTGAGAAAACATTAGCAGATCATGTGTCAAATAAAGAAATAGCATGTAGAACACGTAATGTGTTCAACTCAACTGTAAAAATATATAAGCACCCCAGCTTTTTAAATGAACAGAAGACTTTAATACTCATATTACCAAAAAAAAAACAAAAAAGTGTGACTTCACTTACTTTAGCCAGAAGCCTGAGAAGTGATATGAGTAACTAATAAGCACATGAAAAGATATTCAATACATTACTCTGAGAAATTCAAATTAAAACTACGAAGAGCTAGCACTTTTATTCACTTGAATGGCAAAAGTGTTGGCAAGTAAGTGCAGAAACTAGCATTCACATTGCATTTTTGTGAGAATATAAATGATATTAATCACTTTGGGAAAAGCTTCAAAAGTTTATTTATAATGAAACATAAATTTATCCTCTCTGGTAAATTTCCCCCAAGTGAAAACATTCACACAGAAACGTTCACATTAATGTTCATATAAGCAGCATTATTTATTTTCCAGGCAAAAGGTTGGAAACGAACTGATACCCATCAGAATGGAATGTGATATATCTGTATATTAGAATATTATTTGCAGGGCCGGAGAGATGGCTCAGTGGAATAAGTGCTTCCCTGGCAAACACAAAGGCCTGAGTTCAATCTCCGGTTCCACAAAAAAATAAATAAATAAATAAATAAATATTATTTGGCCTAATAAAAAGTAATAAAACCCCTTGATTTCTGTTTCAACATGGGAACCTTAGTAAAAGTAGCAAGGTACAAAAGACTACATATTGTCCATTTATGTAATTTTTTTTTAAACTAGTGAGATTAAACCCATAATCCCAGTACTCTTTTGGTATTTTAGTACAAGGTCTCACTACACAGATTGGACTTGTAGTGATTCCTGTTTTCAGCTTCCCAAGTGCTGGGATTACAGGCGAGCACCACCACGCCCAGTCTCAATCGCCATCTCAGTGTGCTCTGGGGGGGTGAGGCCCACAAGGCAAGCTGAGGATTGAACTTCTGACTCCTGTGTCTGCCCAAGCAAGCACTTTAATCCACTGAGCTATCTGGCCAGCCCTTAATCCCAGCACTCTTGAAGACTGAGCCAAGAGGATCATAAATTCAAGACCAGTCTGGCCAATTTAGGGAGTTTAGGGAGCAGAGGGAGGAAACCAGGAAGGCTGGGGATGTAGCTCAGTGGGCAGGCCCTGTGCTTGATCCCCAGTACCAATTTTTTTGCTTTAAGAAGGCAAAGGTACAGAAACAATGCAGATGAGTGAGTAGGAGTGGAAAGTGACGGGGCAAACAGATACAGTGAGGCTTTTGTTAGTGGGGATGTCCTAATCAGAATTGTATGGTTCTACAACTCAGCAAACTGATTTAAAATCATTGAATTTTACACTTAAATTCTGAATGGTGTGGAGGTGGCACTGGATAGGAAAGAAGAAACACATTTTGAGCTTTTAACCCAAAGATCTGAGGTCCTATGAAAATGGGCCATTTCAAAATTTTGAAAAGGGACTCATTCTTACATACATAAAATTAAGTTAGATAAAGTGAGAAATTGGTCAAGAAAAGAGTGGAGGTATATTGAAATTTCTTAGGAATAGAAGGGAATAAGAAACCTTCCTAAAAGGAGGGGCCTCTTCTCCTAGGAGGAGTGAACACCTGTGTATACAGAAGGCTGACATATAAGAGCAGCTGTAGCCCAGGTGCCCAATGGCAGGGACCATTCTGATAGACTTAGAACTGAGGAAATAATGGAAGTGGGACCAATAATATCCAAAGATGTCATTGTATTAAGGGCCAGCTGCAATGAGAAGAAATCACCTTGTTTTTGTTCTTCAGAAGGGCAGGAGCAAGTCCTTTTCACTTGACAGTAAGAAGTATGTGCTTCCCTCACTCCGTGAGACACCACATAGCCTCTTTTGTGTGGTTTTGAGAGGGAAACTCAGAATTATTTTTAAGACAGGTAGTATCTAAGTTGTTAATTTGGAAAGTAGAGATGTCCTTAGTATAGACCAAAAGATGACTTCAAAATAGATTTTAAAAAGAAAACTATTAGAAAAAAAAAAAAAGAAAAAAAACTATTAGAATTTATCATAAGGCAGTTATAAAAGCAGTCTTCTCAGCTTACTAATAGATTTTATCATTGAAAATATTTTAACCATGTGTGGTAGCACACAGCTGTAATCAGAGACTTTGGGAGGCTGAGGCAGAGGGATTGCAAGTTCAAACTTAGCTTGTGTAATTTGGTGACTTAATGAGACTGTCTCAAAACTAGGGTGAGAGATGTAGCTCAGTGTAAAGAGTTGAGTTCAACCCAAAGTGCCACAAAAAAAAAAAAAAAAAAAAGATTTTTTTCAGTGTGTCAGTGGTTTGAGATATATATTTTGATCTGATTCTTTTCAGTAATTGCAGGTGATTTAATATTTCTGCTTTATACATGTATATGATTGAATATATTCTAAAATATGCTGAGCTTCACTAAAATAGATTTCTGACTAGGCTTAGAAAGCCAATTTCTGTATTGTGGCATTCACTGACAACTGAAATCAGAGCTATAAAGTACTTTTTGTTATATAGATAGTGTGAGAATTAGAGCTGAGGTGGCATCTGGGTCATTGGCATCTTCTGTCTTGTGGAAGGATATTAACCTTTCCTATTAGCTATTCCTACTTTGGGCAGAGTGGCAGTATTCTTTAACCACACTTGACTTTAGCATACAACTCACTAACATGCAGGCATGTTTTAAATATGTGGAATTTACTATGGCATCCACTGGCCAGGTGGCACCTAAAACATGACTTGTTCAAATTTACAAATGCCAAAATCATAAAATGTATTCCATTCTCAGCTGAAGAAAGATGAAATAAGTCATTAATACTACTGATTTTTCACCTATTTACTGTTTTCAATGAATTACTGAAATATTTCAAATTACATGTATTTTATTTCTGTTGGACAAAGCTAATCTCAAACTTAATCCCAGTGAATGTATTTTAATATTTTAATATCCATTACTCACATCCAAATATTCTTTAGACAAAAGGAAATCCAGTATATTTTTTAAAGGCCTCTCACAAGTAATTTCTTAGAGATTGATTTTTCTTATTACCCTGTATGAGATTCAGATTATCATTGCATGTGGTTGTTTCCATGAGTAAGAGAATATTTAGTACAGTAGGCTATTTAGAAAGCTAATTTTCATTTCAACAGAGCTGAATTTTAATACAAAGAGTGCATCTAGACATATTTTTATATTATTTTTGTATCATACTGATGCTTCTTCATAGAAAAGCATATAGTTCTGTTTTTCTCACCCTTTTTTTGATATTTTTGTGGAGACTGCCAAGGAGATTGCTGAATGAAAAAGTGGTTTCTAAAAGCTTTTCTTTTTTTTTCCATAATTTTATTGAGAAACAAATAGCAATGAGACAGTTTCAAATCAAATTGGGAGGACAGTTTCAATAATTAACACATTGCATACTCTCTTTCTAGTGGTTATTTGCTGTACAAGATGCAAACATGACATCCTATTTACAGACACTATTAGAACAAATCCCTCTATTCATTAAGAGAATGTAACTATATATCTATGCTAACCATTTTGAATATACTGATACAAAATGGACATTCATCTGTGTCCCCTTTTTTTGTTAAGTTCCGTTATTTGAATATTATAGGTGTGTTAACTCAGCAAAATATTCCAAAAGAGTCCAGTAATTCATAATACTATTGGGTCTTCTGCTTGACTGGCAGTGTCAGAAATTGTTGACCTGAGTCCCCTACAGCTCAACATAACACCATGGCTTTTCTTCTTGTACTTCGTTTTTATACTTTTCTGCTGGATGGTCAAGACCAAGATAAAGCAAGACATATGCAACAAGAGTTGTAGTAAAAGCTTTCTTTTTTTGCTTACATTTCTTCACCAGAGTATTTGTATTCCATACTTAGAGCTTCTCTGGTTGTTTTGGTTTTTTAATGGGAAATTAACATTGGAAAACTATTCTGAGGGGACAAGGAGATAACTCAGTAGAATAAGCATTTGCTTGGCAAGCTCAAGGGCCTGAGTTCAATTCCCGGTTCTGTTAAAAAAAAAACTATTCTGTTTCTTGCACAGTTTATATTATTCCGTTTGTATCTTATAGTAAGATTCGTACAAGCATTAAATTAGATTAATTTGAGAAGGGAAAAATTTTTTTTTTTTTTTTTTTTTTTTTTTTTTTTTTTTTTTTTTTTTTTTTTTTTGGTTGGTTTGGTTTGGTTTGGTTTGGTTGGGGTTCTTTTGTTTTGGCGGTACTGGGGATTGAACTCAGGACCCTGTGCTTACCAGGCAAGCACTTAGTCTACTAAGCTATGTCCCCAGGCAAGAAGGGAAAATTGAGTGTTATTGGATGGCATATTAATTATTCCATTGAGTCTAGAGGATAGCTGAGTAAGCTACCTTTCTGCAAAGACTTTTCCAGATGTCATTTTCTAATCCAGTTCTCTTTCCAGGCACTACAGACACCACCTCTAACAGCACAGCCACCGTGATTTCCACAGCACCTCCCACTTCCTCGGCAGTCACGAGCCCTTCTCTGAGCCCTTCACCTTCTGCCTCCGCCTCCACCTCTGAGGCATCCAGTGCCAGTGAGACCAGCACAACCCAAACCACCTCCACTCCTCTGTCCTCTCCTCTTGGGACCAGCCAGGTGATGGTGACAGCATCAGGCTTGCAAACAGCAGCAGCTGCCGCTCTCCAAGGAGCTGCACAGTTGCCAGCAAATGCCAGTCTTGCTGCCATGGCTGCTGCTGCAGGACTCAGCCCAGGCCTAATGGCACCCTCGCAGTTTGCAGCTGGGTAAGGAGCCGCCACCCCCCCCCCACCCACCCCTTCACAGCTCACAGACAATGAAGGAGTTATCCCTGGAATTATTCTTCTCATTTTAAAAGAGAATAGATGTGTTTAAAAACCTCTTCAAAACAGTCTGGTCTGTGGTCGTGCAAAGACCTTGATTATATAGCTAAGCCCAAATTTTTGACCACTCTGGGAAGGGCAGTGGTCACACTTTTAATTGTACCTGAAGACATACAACAACAGGTCACTGAGCCCCAAAGTAATGGGAACAAAGAGTAAGCTCAGAATTTCTGACTGTTACACTTTCTCTATTAAACTCTGTCTGCTTTCAAATTCACAAACATGGATAAGAGATGCAGAAGATTTCCAATTTTGTATTATTATACTTAAGAGTTCTTTTTCTCTAGAGGGTTTTTTTTTCAAGAAAGTGAAGTCAAAGAACCAAAATGACTTAAGTTTTACATTTTATGTACAAATAAGCATCTAGGAACCCCTGATGCAGAAGCACTAAGCAAACGCTATAAAAGTAGACAGAAAATATCAAAGATTCCTATATATTTCCCTCAAGTGTCTTTTTCTTTCTTCCTTTGGGGGTGTTGTCAAACTGACAGATATATCTGCACAGTAGTAACTTGTCCCTTTTTTTGAATTTGCAGAGGTGCCTTACTCAGTCTCAATCCAGGGACCCTGGGCAGTGCTCTCAGCCCTGCTCTGATGAGCAACAGTACACTGGCAACTATTCAAGGTCAGTACCTTGCTTTTGCTTGGGGGGCGGGAGGTATGTGCTTTGCTCAAGCTGAAGGTGATGGGGAAAGATAGTTGAATGCTAACAAACTTTTAACTAACTTGTTCTTAAAGACCAGGAAAATGTTCTCATTTTAAAAATCTTTGTGAAAGAAAAGTATAGGTGTTCCTTAGTAAAAATAAACCAGGACTTCTATGTGATATTTATCTCCCATGAATAGATTTTAAGGTAGAATTTTTCCTCCAGATTATTTGTCCACATATTCATCTAAAACCTCTCTGAAGCCACATTTGACCGAGTAAGCGCCTCAGTCCCCATCCCCATCTCTAAGATCCCTAAGGGTGGGAAAGTCCTATAAGAGTGGTTAGTGGAGCACATCAGGCAAATTTTGCAGGTATCTTTAATTCTACTTAGAGTCTGTCCTTTTTGTCTGTCCTTATCAATCTGCATGGAGCATAGATTCCTCTTGGATTATAATGTCTCTTCCAAGTCTATTTGGGTCCCTGTCTGCCTTTCCCATGTTATTCGGGCTGATTCCATAAAGTGAAGGGTTTACCGTACTAAGCTTCTAAGCTTGTATCTAAAGATGGTTGCTACTGTGTGACTCAGAGAAGTAATTATTCAGGGAAATGTCATTATTAATCAGGATTTTATTTTCTTTAAATTATAATGCTTTGTGCTTAAGTAAGAGTTCTTGGAGCCAAAACTAATCTGTTAAACCAACCTCATTTGAGATTAGCATGTCTAACAATGTACCACAGAAAATGTTATATTACAGAGAAAAGCAAATCAGGGCCTAGGTTGCCTTACATTATATTGGATTTCTGATTAACCAAATCAGAGGTGAATTGAATACTTTTCTGGAAAGGTATAGAATTAGTATTTTACCCTGAGCCTGGAATCTTAGAACACATCCAGCTATACAAAGGTTTAAAAACCTCTTCAAAATGATCTGTTTTGTATTGTCTCTGATGACATCTAAAATCGGAGGCATTCCCTTCACTGTTCTATAATCAGCAAGATTATCAACAAGATTTTAATGCCATTCAAAAACCTGCAAATCTGCATATGGGAGTAAGGTTATTTGCATGGGGCCATTTAAGAGAGTAAAAGGACTGATTCCTTTTTTAAAAGCTATAACCATAATTGTAATGGGAAAGCAATGAATGACATCAGGGAAAAGTCCTCCACCATGAAGCCAAGGCCTAGCACTAAACCACCCACCAAGGACCACCTGCATCATCAAGTCTCTGATTTTTCTTTTATAGTAAACTCAACCTTCACCATTGCACAAGTCCTGAAAGTCAAATATGTGCCTCTTGAGGTGAAAAGTTAATCACACCTTTTACTTTATATGATGATTTATAACTTAGAACTAAAAGCTTTTGGAAATAAGATTTCTATCTTGTATAAAAAAATGTGCTCAAACTTATCAGTAATGCCAGTTGGTTTGATACGAGCAAGATGACTGCTTTTCTTTTTTCAAAATGACTGCTTTAATCACTGGACTAGTTTGGTTTTTTAACAGAGGGAGTTTAAAATTGGTAATCTTCATTGGAAACAAAATTCTGGATTTAACAAATATTTTAGGTAAATAAAAAGCTTGAAATTTAAAGACAGAGCATGACTAGCTTCTTCTTAGAATTCTCTCTCTCTCTCTCTCTCTCTCTCTCTCGCTCGCTCGCTCGCTCTCTCTCTCTTTCTTTTTTTTTTTTTTTTTTTTTTTTTTTGTGGAACCAGGGATTGAACTCAGGCCCTTGCACTTGCCAGGGAGGCAATTATTATACTGAGCCATCTCCCCAGCCCCTATAATTCTCTCTTTAGCTTTCCCTTGTTGTATTCATTAGATTTTTCAGTCCTTTATGCTCCTCAAAATTATAAACAAATTTCATTTGTGCCAATATAGCACTGCAATTGAGGAAAAACTAGAGAAGGACTATACTTTTTCCTTCAGGTAAGAAGAGAGAGACATTTTTATTGGCAGGGAATGTTCTTGTTGTTTTCCTTCTCCTTGATGACTCTTACCAAGGTGCTAGAAACTTATTTTCTTTTGTTCCTTGTGTAAGAACTGCAAGGAAACTTGGTAGGATTTTGATGACACTACCTGCCTCCTCCAGGATGATGCTGATTTTCTCCTTCCTGTTTCCTTGTGTCTCACCTGTAGCTCTTGCTTCTGGTGGCTCTCTCCCAATAACATCACTGGATGCAACTGGGAACCTGGTGTTCGCCAATGCTGGAGGAGCCCCCAACATCGTGACTGCCCCTCTGTTCTTGAACCCTCAGAACCTCTCTCTGCTCACCAGCAACCCAGTTAGTTTGGTTTCTGCTGCTGCCGCCTCCACAGGGAACTCAACACCTGTCGCCAGCCTTCACGCCACCTCCACCTCCGCAGAGTCCTTGCAGAACTCTCTCTTCACGGTGGCCTCTGCCAGTGGGGCTGCATCCACCACCACCACCGCCTCCAAGGCACAGTGAGCTGGGCACAGAACTGGCCACCCAAGCCTTTGTCACTGCAGTGGGATCAGGCTGCCAGCCAGTTAGTAAACTGAAAATGTGATCAGCTTCCTTTCACCGTGCTGTGAGGGCAAGGAGACAAAGGAGAGAAGAGAAGTACACATACCAGAAAAAAACAGATAACATTTGCCTAATTTTATAATAAAACACTGTCTTTTCAGGATTGCTTCATGGATTGGAGAACTTTCTAACCAAAAATTAAAAAAAAAAAAAAAACCAGAAACAAAAAAAAAAAAAATCAAAAACAAGTAAGTTTTTGTTTGAAAGGACTACGTATCATTTCCAGCAGTCATGATGACAAGGTGGGTTATCAATTCCAGTATAGGAAGGGGGTTTCTTGTTTATCTAAATTTCTTTTTTCTTAAAAAAAAATCATTTTTATGGGTCTGTTGTACAGGCCATTAAGTCATGACAAGGTGTTTATAATCGTAACAATTGTGTTGGGGTTCCTTTCTTAACTGGTACAATTTAGGCAGGCCTGTATTACTGTATCTATTATTGTTGTTGTTATTATTGTTTTTATATATATATTATATAGAGAGAGAGAGTTTGGACATGTTTATCTCTCGCTCCTGGATCCTGTTTCAGTGAGCTCCCACACTGTGGGGAGGGAGGGTTTGAGGTAAGGGGAGACTTAACGTTCTTATCTGCGGGGAATGTTCTTGCTGGTTTCCTTATCCTTGATGACTCTTACAGAGGTGCTAGAAAATTATTTTCTTTTGCCACTTATGCAAGAGGCTTGGTGCAGAAGCTGAAGGCAGTGTGTGCAAACACTCCCACTTCACACACACCCCTCCCCCATCAGGTGGTGCCTTTGGAGCACTTTTGTGTAGGAAGGAATTCCTGCTGAACTGTAGCTCTCACTCACCCCAAATCATGGAATGGCCCTGAGGCCCAGGTCCTGTGGTGCAATAGTGCTGCTTTCTGCTACTTCGAATGGGAATAGCTGCACATGTTGCAGGACAGGGTTTGGTTCTAAAGAGCAAAGACTACTGCAGACACCTGACTCGGTGGTTCTCCTGATTTCTTATCTCCTGAAAAATGCTCCTACTGTTGATTTATGTTTTTTTGTGTCCCATTTTATGACAGTTTTTCATCCAAACTTTGACTTACTTGGCAGAGAACAAATTGACCTATTGAAATTGGGAAACATTTCCCTTTTGTTTTCTGAAGGAATTCTACTAGAGTATTTCCCATCCATTATATGTCCAGAAGAGGCTGAGGAGAATCTGAGGTTGCCACCTTTTCCTCTAGACAGGTACCTATCTGCTAGGTGGCTTAGAACTTCCTCAAACCCTGAGATCCTCCTCTGTTCCCTAACAGAGGCACTTACTGGCCAGGCTGTATTGGGGTTGTAGAACCTTTACAGAAAGGCTGAGCAGGAACTTGTACACACCATGTCTCCTGGCTTATCTGGGATGCTCCTGCTAGGTATCTCTTTATTCATTGTAGAAAGTGATTAGCTCCTGTTATTGTTTTCAGGGTGTTTCTAGACTACATAAATGAGCCCATTTTTTAAAAAGCGTGTGAAATGGATAAAGAAGAATGAGAGTAATTTAAAAATTAAATTCCCCTTTTTGCCAGTTATATATCTGTACCAAAAATGTCCCCAAGAGACTGGATCACTGCAATGTCCATCTACATCCCTCTTTAGAGTGTAGTTAAAGGTTCCTATTTGGTGTCTAGTGCTCAATCTCCACTGATCCTGAGACTGCGTTTTGTCCCCCTTTTGTGCTGGGGGTTGAAGGAGAGCTAACAAGTGACTTTCCTTCTGATTGTTTTGCTTGTAGCCACAAGGGAGCTGAGATTCATCTATTTGTCTCTCTTGACCACTGTTCAGAAAGGCAGTAATAGACACAGATGTGTACTTTTGTTTGTGATTCAAGTAGGAGACAGTCATATTAATATTAAAGGTCAGAAACATTTTAGTCCCCCCTTTTTTGGGGGGTTGGCTCAGCCCACCAAGGGGGTGGGGCTGGCATGGCAGATAGTGTCAGAAAGCTGGTCCCCAGTCCTCTGTGGCTGCTTGAGCTTGCCTAAGCAGGCGCTTTAGACTGCTGAGCTATTTCACCGGCCCCTTTTAATCACCCTTTAAATTTTATTTCCTTCTGTCTTGTTTCTCAAAGTATTTAATTATTCCCTCCCCACCCAATTTCCTCTTCAACCCTTTACTTTCCCTCAAATCCCTCTAAAATCAGTGAACTGCAAGCAGGGAAACTAACAAATGTCCATCCACCTGTTTTTGTGTGGTGTGTGGTATGTTTTTTTAATGTTTTTATTTTTAAACTAAGCTTGAACCAAAGTCAAATTTTAGCAAGCTGCTGTACTAATGGACTAGTTTATAACGTGCAGTTCAGACACATTGAGGAGATAGATGCTACTGACAATTTCTTTTCCATTTGTCTTTATTTTATATAAAAGCTGCTGCTTGTTTTTAACCTTTTGTGTTGATAAATTGTAATATCCTCTGAGCAGACATTACCTTGATTTTTAACTAGTTGATTTAGGTTGTGTGTAAATAGAATGGCGGTGTCAGTTACTAATTTCTCTCCTCTTTATCAGCTTTTTCTCTTCTGTACTTAATGGTAATCTTTTACCATGACTTGATGTCTCTAACTTTAGTCTGTGCAGATGATTTTAGGGTAGGGCCATGGATAACGCTAGAGTTGCCTGTAGTAAAGAGTCCCTCCAATAGGAGTATAGAAGTTAAGAGAAAGGATTCAGGGAGGGAAATGCAGAAACCCACCATATTGGATTAGAGGTCATAGCATTCATTTCCCCAAATTGCTACCAAAGGAAGTGTGAGGTCCCAAGGGACACTAGCCCAGTGAGTTAAGAGGAAAGACAAAGAAAGAAAGGCAGTTTTGGTTTTGTTTTCTGTGATTAAATGATCACTCCCAAATAATATTCACCAATAGGCATTAATATTGAAGAAAATACTAAGTTTTAAACATCAGTGTAATAATTTATCAGTCCATACCCTCTTTATACCTAGTGTCTAATCCCCTGTAGGGGGACTGCCTTTCTTTATGTGGGTCACTTGATAAGTGTAGATCTTAAACCAGCATAAAAATCTGTTTTGAAAAGAATGATTAGATCTTTAGACAAAGATGACTTTAATTTTTTTCTCTTACTTTACATATTTAAAAGTAAATTATGGAATAGAAGGTACTTTTTCACATGTGAAACACTAATATAGCTTGTGAGTGGGTGCTTAGTTTCACATCAGCTTCCTATCATTATCCCTAGGTATTCTGTTAATTATACTTGCTTCATGAACACCTTAGTCCTTTATTTTTTACTTTTTAAGTTTTTGTTTGTTTTGTTTTATTTTTTGTAGTACCGGGGATCAAACTCAGGACCTTGCACTTGCTAGGCAGGCACTTAAGCCACTGAGCTATCTCCCCTGCCCAAAAAATATTTTTTGAATTGAATGAACTATCTCCTAAGCCAAGGTACTCAGACCTAATTTTCAGCCACCTTTTAAAGGGGAGTTTGGAAACTTAAGGGGTCGTTTGCCCAAAAAGAGTCCTTTGGTAGAGTCCTTACATTTGGAAGAAAGGCCAGGTAGTTGTTACAGTTCTTGTTATCATTCTTCTTTTTTACCTTTAATATTTATGCAAGTTTTATTTTCTCCCTCAATTTGGTTAACACAGATTAAGCCAAAGATTAATTTTAAATACATTGATAGTAATACTGTATTTGCCATGGTAATGGGCCCTCCTGAGGGAGCAGTGAATGTAAGTGTAAAACCTGTTCATCATAAGCAATGCAATTTGGTCATGAACTTTGTTTATACCCTATATAAATCTGAAAGACAAAAGAGAAAGACCTAAATAAAGGACCTCTAACAGAAATAATATTGTTCTTAAAAAAGAGTTTAAAAGAAGGAAATTGAAATAAGCTATATTAGTTAAAACATTTCTGAGGTTCAATATGCAGGATTTTAGAATTAAGAATGATTTATTTCTGTTAAGTCATATAATACACACTCCTTTTTATTTATTGTCAGAAAGGTCAAAATCATCCCAGTTTAGCTTGTTACTCAAAATGGAACCAAAGCAATTCAATTTTAATTTTGCATAGAACCACACCTATTTATACTTCATGGTGGCATTATTAGAAATTAATATTTTCAAAAGGGAAAATGTCCATTAAAAAAATTTTAGTGAGCTCATCTTGCCAATTTATTCTACATCATTCATTTGTTCGTAGGGAAAAAGCACAATTATACCTCTTTTAATGTTTCTTTGTCTGTTAACCTTCATGTATTTGGGAAGATAGGGAAAATATGGTATGTAATCTGAAAGCACAGATCTTTGCTTGACACAGTATTTAAATTCAGCCCACTCTTTGTTTTAAAATTATATTTAATTTTCTGGAAAAGCTAGATGTACCTGCACATACAAGGAATTTGTGTCAGTTTTTAAAGTTCAGAATCCTGGCAGAAAACATTTCAGTTACTATGCAGTGAACATTTGGCTTACAGAGAAGCTCTGTATTTCATAGTCTGCCATTGTTCCCAAGATGGGCCATCCTCACAGATCTTTCTTGACCTAGAAGGAAGTAAGATCATTGGGAAGGGAGACAGAAGAGGAGCTTCTTTCTACATTTCTCCCCAAGAAAGAGCTGCTGAGAATGGAAGGGGAACAGGGAGCCCTAGAGGGCACTCTACAGTCACAGTCCCTCAGGAGGGAGAGTTTGTCATATACTGTCCTCTTGAGTCAGCATTTCAACATGATGAATTGAAGTTTCTTTATTCTTCAAACTCGCTTAGAGCCAAAAATGTTTGCCAGACTGTCAATGCTAATAAGCAAAAAAGACTAAAGAACTGAAATTTAAAACCAACCAAATGGGCAGGAACTGATAGAGGAATTTATTCATAACCATCGAGAGAGAAAGAGAGAGAGAGAGAGAGAGAGAGAGAGAGAGAGAGAGAGAAGCAGCTAGTGTGTAACGTTGCTCATATAATCATAGTCTTATCTGTTCTGAAGTCATTTCAAGTCACTGACATTTTGAGGATGATGCTATAAAATGGTAAATCTTCATATTTATCTTCAATTTTAAGAAGGAAAAAGTCTGTGCTATTCCTCTCAAGAAGAATATGATCAGGTTTACGTATGATGATGGATAGCACCTACAGTACAAAGAGTTGAACAGGAATAGGATAAATTGCTTTCATCATTAAAAGTTTGTACAAATCCTATCCTTTTCTTAATCTAGAGAGATTAAATGGGACATCATGAAATTTCCAGTAAGACTTGAAAGGATCCTACCAGGAGGGCAGGGAATATATTTCTCAGCAGTTGTACACTTTGCAGTTTTTTGGATGACTTGTGAACTATTACTTTCTTCTAATCATCCTTTCTCATGAATTGCTTCCTTAGGTTGGTTCTTCTACTCTTGGCCTTTGCTAAAAGCAGTAAATTTGAGTGAACCTTACATTGAGTCGATAATCTGGGTCTCCCTCACTCTTTCTCTTCATACCTTTTTCTCTTTGAATAGTGGTACCTTAATCTGTGAGGATAATCCTCGTGGGCAACAGCTAGCTTCTGGCACCTTCATAAAATACCTCAGCATAGCTTAGCATTGTTGCAAAACTGGTTTTAAACTAAAAACCAAATAAATAAAAACTATATATAGTGGAAATAATTCTAGCTGTAGTATTTAGTTAAACTAATGTTTATTATGACTGATAAACCTGATTGACGCTGTATGTATTTGGGGTCCTGTTTATAGGTTACAGTTTGTAGGGTGAGGGAGGGTGGTCAGGGTAGGGGAGAAAGAAGTTGATTATGTTAGAGGGAAAATGTTGCTCGTGTGTGTTTTTCTTTATATCTGTCTTGCCAAAGGAAACTTGATATTCCCCTGTGATTGAGTTTAGGATTTATTGGCCTCTGTGGTCAGATCTGCAGCAGTGTGTGGTGGCATGCAGCTGACATGTGGGGTGTCCAACAGGTTCAGGGTCCCAAGGGCACACTTACAACCCTTCCTATGGCTACCCACACTCCCCAGACTTGCAGCCACTCCTAATGATTCATTACCTCTGTATATATACAAAAGCTTAGGTAAAGGACGAATGTGTAAATGTCTGGGTGTGCAGATGAAAAGTAGAGACAGAAATAGATATGCACCAACTAACTTGAGAAGAGTGGAGAGGTAATTGTTGTATCTTAATCCAGAAAAATTAAAGTGAAACAAGTTCTTTTAGTCACCCTCTGTTATTGATGTTGTGCTAGTCGCCCAACATTTAAAACCTTTTTTTTTTTCTTTAATACCAAGACTTGTTCTGCCTAAAACAAAAATACATACAAAAGAAAAATCAAATCCAGCAGTTGAAAGTTAACCTGCTCACTTCATACCTGTGATAAAGCGCACTTCTGCGGATCGGCTTGTAGGATAGAAGACGATGACGCTCCAGGTGCAGTGTGAATGAGAAGTGATGTCAGTTATAAAAGAACTCAGTCTTCGCTGCACATGCTCTGGGACAGCTTTTTTTAGCTCCCAGAATTCTGATAAAGACTATATCTCCAAAAAGGCTTTTTTGTTGTTAAATAAATGATCCATCTCATACAACTTAAGTGGGATTTGGTTTAGATACCAAGGACACTATGTCATTTTCTATCCTTAGTTTCAAAACAGGCAGAGGGAATAGGAGCGAAAAGATGAAATTCATTAAAGGTTTACCATGTTTCTTTTCTTTCCCTTTCCTTTTGCTCCTTCCCTACTTTTTGGAAGAAGTCTTGTTTGGTTATGGCAAAGAGATTTATTTTGTTTCACTCTGCTGGCTTTGTAAAGACTCAGTGTAGCACTGATATTCTTGGAATTGAGAAATTTTAGGAATGCAAAAGATGGGGGTAGAATTATTTTCTTTCTTTATCTAGTACAGTACTTACAAATAGAACCAATACAGCCTCTTTGAGTTCAGACAATATTTTAGATGTGCTGTCTATGTACTGTCTCTTGAAGAAGCATTTTCAAGAGCAGAATTATATGAAAAAAACCAAAAGATTTTACTTTATTCTTCTGTATAACTGTTTTATTCCAAAATGTTTTTATAATACAGTCTCTCAGAAGTTAAGTAGTTCGCTGTTTTGATGTATTGATAGGACACAGGGAGAGAGGAAAAATAATATATTGCTCTCTGAATACTTTGTCAAAAATGATCAGGTTGCATAAGTTCATGAAAGCTTTCCTAGTAAGTTTTTTGTTCTGACATTATGTAAAAGTAGTATTAACGCCGTCTGACTTTTCAAAGCATTAGGTAGATGTGTAAGTAGGTGATAGGGATAGGGAAGATAAGAGCACTTGAAACAAAGGGTATGGGAAACAACGAGCGTAAAGAGCAAGGAATTGAGCCTGGAAGTAAAGCTTCAAGGGGCTAGGGAGAGAAATGCTGATCGTCCTTTCTGTGTTCCTGAGTCGGCCTACATGCCACTTTCTGGTTCACACCAGGACACTGTCAGAAAGTTAAGACCCCCAAACTAACTTACTGTAGAAAAAATACTGAGGTCTGCTGCAAAGTTTCTCCATGTTTTCTTTGTTTGCTTGCTGATGGTTTTTAGGTGGTCACAACTTCACAAAAGCAGCTTAAGGGTTCTTTCATAAACTGGCAGTGGCAGCAAACTCTCCAGCATATCCCAGTCTGCAGGCAGATAGCTGAGTACAGAGCTGTTCAGAGATATGAGACATCTAACCACTTAGCTCCTAAAGAACGAAGTTTCATTCAGAAGTTTTCTTTTGAATGGAGATGCAGAAAGCCAGCTCCCATCCAGCTACTAGCACTGTTTCAAGGTGTAAAAAAGAGGAAGTGAAATGCACTTTCAGAAGCTGAACCGCCAGCGTCTGTGACGCCAAGGTTTCACGCAGCTGGGGAGCTCTAGCTCTGGCTCCATTCCTGTGTGATGTGCAGAAGTAGAATGTGCGTTCAGCCTGGGTGCAGGAGAGGAGGAATCATGACGCTGTGTGGCCATTTTCTAATCCTGCTGCAACAGAAAAAGTGGTTGGCCCTTAAATCCGATGGGGGAAGAGAAAACTAGGCTTGTGGCAGCTTTTTACCTCTGCGTGCACGGGCACTGTGCACTGCAAAGTCCACAGGAGGTCTGGCTGCAGAGAGAAGTCCCCATTCCCCTGGTCTGCGATAGTGGCAAGGGCTAGGTGAGTAAGCGTGGGTTTTCCTGCCCACCACAAGTCCAGGAGCTCTTTTATACCTCATTTCTAACTCGTGGTCGCTTCACTTGCTTTAACTTCCTCTCAGCCCTACAGAGTTGCCAAGTCCGCCCTCCCTCCGCTCTGTGCTGTTGAACTCTGGCCTATAGCATCTCGAGACCTGTAGCCGAGGGTGGGCCCTTCTGAAGCCTC